GCCACCTCCTCATTTTGACAGTGAACTGAAATCTTACATAAGTAGTGGTAGCAAAGAGAAAAACTAAATAGAAGGAAGATTTAGAAACAAAAGACAGGTGGTTTGGAAAAAAATGAAACTTACAAAAAGATGAGTCAAGAAGAGGAATAAAACCAAGATCTTTTCTTTCTTCAGTTCTCTTTCAGTAAGAAGACGTAAAACATGACGTCTTAAAAATTATGGAGAATGTGCATATTCTTCAAGTTTCTATTGCTTTTAAATTTCAATATGTGGATTTTTAAATGTTTAAACAGTATGTCAGGAGTTACAAATGCTTTTGCTAACAAGCTTTGTAGAGCCAAGTTGCCATTATTAACATCTTGGGGAAGTACTTCCCATGTGCCCACTGCATGTTCCTCTGGAGTGTTTTCTGGTTTTGTTTCTGCACAAGCTGTGTTCTCAGAGGATCCCACAAGAGATGATATAGAGAATCCTAAGATGTCCAGAAATTCATCTTTGCCTGTTCTGTTTGCCCATATGGTGAAAGGCTGCCAGGTTGAGGTGGAATGGCAAACAGAGCTCAGTTGATAGGAAAATTTCTGGAATAAGTTGGTAGAAGTAAGTTGGCAGCTCAGAAGGTGCCTCCTTCTCCCTTCATTCGTGGACCCTACGTCAGTGAGACAGGTTGAGGTTCTTATCATTCTAACTGGAATCTCACAGAATAACGAATGGAAGGGAGGTAGCAGCCTAAATAAAGAATTAGCTGTATTTGAGACAATGAGGAAACCAGAAAATAAGAAGTATACAGGGACATCAGGATGGGCACCCAGAGCCAGGTGTCGGATGTTTGAAGCCTGGTTGCTTCCCTACCTTACCTGGACAGGTGATGGGAGCCAGAATGCTCACGTGCTGGTTACCAAGACAGATAACCCTGAGGCTTCAGGAGTCTGGGACTCAGAAACTTGAAGATACTAGAAGACAACAGGCATCCAACCTCGAAATAATGAAACTGGAGTGGACTCCTCAGACATACCTGCCAGCCAGCACTGCCTTCACCCTTGATTGCAATTTGACCCTGAGATAGAATTGAGGGAAATTGATGTGACAGTTCACCCCTATCGGACAAGAATAGTTTTTTTGTTCTTTTGAATCTGAGTTTTGGTCTTGTTGCCCAGGCTGGAGTGCAATGGCCTCATCTCGGTTCACTGCAACCTCTGCCTCAGGTTCAAGCAATTCTCCTGTCTCAGCCTCCTGAGTAGCTGGGATTACAGGCACCTGCTACCACACCTGGCCAATTTTTGTATTTTTAATAGAGATGGGGTTTCCCCATGGCCAGGATGGTCTTGAACTCCTGACCTCAGGTGATCTGCCCATCTTGGCCTCCCAAAGTGCTGGGATCACAGGTGTGAGCCACCATGCCCAGCAAAGAGTAGTTTTCTAATGTAAAAAGGACTCTTACTCTTCCTGGTTGGGTACAACGACCTCCCTGAGTGGTGTCCTAAGATCCAGCACCTGAGGCCCCTCATGTCCCCATTAGCAGAAAGTCCACACTTTATCTTACTAGCCCATCTTTCATGATATTCCAGTGCCCCAGAGGACTTCCCCAGTACAAAGAGACAGTCCTGTCACTCCTCCCTTATTGGAAGAAACCAGAAGTGTGGACATCTTTTCTCTGCCATTGTTACCACTGCATGCTGTAACTAGATGTCAAGCATCCCCGCATGATCCTGCTTAATTAAGAAAAAGCCCATGTCTTCTTTAGCAACTTCAAGCTTCATGTATCAGTGATTACTGGGAAGAACTGACCTCCTCCATCTTCCCTGGAGCTGCAGCTCCTTCCTCTCAGTTTCTATAGTATGCTTTTAAGCCACATCTCTTTGATGCACTTTTCAACTAGTCTTGTTCTCTATATTTATCTGTCCATCTTTGTGAGCTCTCAGAACACGTATAGGCCTGGTTGGTATAGGGGATAAATAAGGGCTGAAGGAATGAATGACTGAATGCTACCTTAAGAAATATCTAGAAACCTTGCTTATATTCATACAGATCTGGAAGTGAGTAACGGAGAAATATGGGGAGTAAAAGCAGGCTAAAATCTGCAAGTTACATAAGAGGCATCAAAAGATGCTATTTAAGTATTACTTTGATAATTAGAAAGTTATACCAATATTTTTTAAATTAAAGATAAATGGTTTCTTCAATCCTCTGCAGTTGCTGGAACAGGTGGCTACCATGACCATCCTTTTACGAAGCAGAACCTGAGGCTCAGGTTGGTTGAGTGACTTGCCTAAGGTAACCACAGCTAGTAAGCAGTAAAGGTAGGTTCTGCACTGGGGACTACCTGCCTCCACATCTGTTTCTACTAGAGCTCATTGCTTCCTTCTGGCTCCTCACATAAAGTCATTGATTGATTGGCTGATTCATTCATTCATTTGCTAAGCTCTTAGCTTGAACTGGGCAGTGTTCTAGGCATAGGCATCAAGGATGCAAAGATCCGTAAAGGTCATACTCTGGAAGCACAAAGAGAGGAGTAATACACCCTGCCGGGTGGGTCAGAGAAGGGTTTACAGAGCAAGGGTATCTGAGCTAGGTCTACCTCTCTTGATTAAGTCAATAATTCCCTTTTGTGGCTTAAACTACATCCAATATGATACTATAACTTGCGACTAGAAGTTGCTGTGTGGATGTACCCACATTTATAAACTGATCTCATACTGTTGAGCATTTAGGTTGTTTCCAAAATTTCAATATTATAAACACGATTATGATGAACTGTTACATACATCTTTGTGTACATGTCCTGCAGGGTTAAAAGTTATATCTTTGATTCGTGTTACCACATTGCTTTCCTAAAATATTTCTCAGTAACTATTCTATGATCATTGTAACAGAATGCCAAGTTTCCCCAAGCAGCTTGCCTTCTAGTTGCAGAGCTCGGTATTAGGATCAAGATAATTTGCATGAAACTGTTTTACAAATAGTTAAGCTTTTCTTCATTACAAAGCAGAGCCTTTTCCTTAAGAATGGAACAAGTATCATCTGCGTGCTTCCTATGTGCCAGGCATTGCACTAGGAATTATATCTACATCATGCTTATTAAACTTCACAACACTTTGAAGAATGAACTGTTACGATCCCCATTTTACAGATGAGAAAACTGAGGCTCATAGAATTAAACTAATTTATCCAAGGTCATATGCAAAATCAGCGTTTGAATTCGGGTCAGATTTCAGATACTCACACTTATCATTACTGGTTTAAGTTGAAATGTGGAAGTATGAAATACTGAGGGTGTCAGATATTTACATAGTTCACAATACTACCAGGCAAAGTTAGGTAGTAGACACTTTAAATGAATGGATACGGAAGGTAAATGTATGCCCTTTCTAGGATGACTCAGTCCCGGCTCCATGATAGCAGCTGAAGGTGAAGAAATACGTAACCAAGAAACAATGATATCCCAAGATGCTACCCCTTAATTTCCTTTCTCCCCTCTATGTATACCCCAACTTATCACAGGCATTCCTCACTAAAGGAAGGGCTGGAGATGGTGTTCATTGCCTCATCCCCATCAAAATTCCTTAGTTTATAAAAACTGAAAAGATATTAAGATTACTACTTTATTCTTGATAGTAGTCAATTATTACATAGTTGTTTGTCCAATAAAGACAAATTTTTCTCCTTTTTGCCCCTTGTTTTTATTCCAAATACCAAAAAACCCCTAATTTAATTATAAAAATAATCCATTTTTGTGCTACTAAAAATTCAAAATGTGGGTCAAATTCACCAGAGACAAATAGTTTTCTCTCTTTCTAGCATCTATTAGGATACTTTGAAAACTGCTCATAAGTCTTCCTCAACTACCAGCTGGCCTCCTGTTTCCTCCCAGACTGGGGCTCAGGTGCCCAGTCCCAAGGCTGTCAGTCAACACAAGATCAGCCTGATTGGGCTGTGGGCTCTGTGGCTTTGAACAAACCTGCCACACTCCCATGTCACTCCTGCGGGACAAGGCAAGATGTGCTGGTGGGACACCGCCCAGGCAATGTGAGACCTTGTAGCTTCCTGGTGAAGGGATATGGGAACCCTGCCCGTTTAGTGGATTTATGGCTGTGGGTCAGCTTCTAAACCTCAGTTTCCTCATCTGCAAAATGGTGATAAATGACATTCTCAAAACCATTGTGGGGATTCAATGAGATAATGATATTAAACTCTTAGCCCTGCGCCTGGCACATACAGTCTTCAAACATGACCATTGTGAGTGGCTTTACACTGGGAACAAGGGAAGATACATCCATCGTGCCCCATGTCTTGGATACTGGAACTACTATGTCTTTTTTTCATTCCCTTGACTGCCTGCCTCTGTCCTCCGGGAGACAAGAGCAATCATGGCGGAGCACATAGCAGCCTCAGCGGCATTGCTGGAGACTCAGCCACTGTCTCCTAGATACACTCTGTCCTCAGTTGCATATTTTCAACCATTACCCCTGTTTCTGGTGATACTATACATATATCCTTACAGCAAATCCAGGGTCACTTCTTAGTCCTCATCTCACCTGGCCTCCTGCATGGTGACTGCATGAGCACTTAGAGTGGCAGGATTCAGAAAAAGAATGATGGATTCACATTCATTTGCACATAACAAGCACCTACTTTCATCAAAGCAGACAGCAAAGGCACATTCCTAGTCTGTTTCAAATTATTTAAAGTGAAATTCTTATAATAGTAGAATTAATAAAATATTTGCTTATAATTTACTGATCATAAACTACTCTTTTAAATCAGTATCTCTCAAAGCGTACTCTATGGAATACCTGCTCTGAAGAATGTTAACACAACATTAAAAATCATTCCTTGCCCATAAAATGTGAGAAAAGGCTCTCCAAGCCTTTGAAATGAAAGTGTGCACTGCAAATCCCTAAAGGGAGTTATGGCATGCCATATTTTCCAAATTGGCTTTTAGCTCTGTTTGTGAGAAACATCTCATAGGACTCATGTTCTTCTGAATACACGTTGGAAAACAGTTATAAACTCAAGGAAGGTGAAACCACATTTACTGGTCGTTCTATAAAATTAAATGCGGAGGTGAGGCTGGGAATGACATCCTTGAGAACAGTCAGAGAATCTCTCCTTCTGTTGTCATCAGGAATTAAAGACAGAGGGGAGAACAGTGGTCAGCGATGGGTCAGTCTGTCCAAAGTGAACAGCAGGTTTTGGAGGCAAGGTGGCACATATGTAGAGAGCTCTTCTGCCCTGGCTGCTTGTCATGGATGGGAATATAAAGTGTGCCCCAAAGACACTATGACATGGTGTGGCCAGGAGGGTGGTCTAGAACATTCCTCTCTTTAGCTTTTTAGGTAGAACTGTGCAATGAAGCCAGTGTCAGTAAATTATGAAATAAAAGACCTGATTCCATATTTCTGCAATAGCGTACAAAAATCACAGAACGTTTACCCACATGGAAAACAAAAGCATAGAAAACCCTGAGCACTTCAGTCTGCCTCACTTAGGCTCATCACCACTACATGCAAGTAACTTGTGCCTCTCCCTCCAGCCCCCTTAGCATTCAGTCCTGCTCTCCTTATATGCGCAGCCCATGCACTTGACTGTGGACTTTTCCTTCCCACTTCTATGCCTCATCCCAACCTCAGATAGGATATATCATTTTGGTCAGGACTATTTCACTTTCCTGTGGCACCAAACAAAGAAAATGACGTTTTAGGCCGGGTGCGGTGACTCATACCTGTAATCCCAGCTACTCAGGAGGCTGAGGCAGGAGAATCGCTTGAACCCGGGAGGCGGAGGTTTCAGTGAGCCGAGATCGCACCGTTGCACTGCAGCCTGGGCGACAAGAGCCGAACTCCATCTCAAAAAAACAAAAAGAGACATTTTAAAAGAAAGCCTGGCTTGAACAAAAATTGAATTTATTGGATCATATCTCTGAAAAGTTCAAGAGACATTTGGTTTCAGGCACAGCTTGAGAAGGTCACTAGGATCAGGGTTCTGATCCTCTTTTAATCTTTTCTTTTCTTTTCGAAGTCTCTCTGCATTGCACAGCTTGGAGTGCAGTGGCGTGATCTCAGCTCACTGCAACCTCCGCCTCCCGGGTTCAAGCAATTCTCTTGCCTCAGCCTCCTGAGTAGCTGGGATTACAGGCACGCAACACCATGCCTGGCTAATTTTTGTATTTTTAGTTAAGATGAGTTTTCACCATGTTGGCCAGGCTGGTCTCGAACTCCTGACCTCGTGATCCACCTGCCTCGGCCTCCCAAAGTGCTGGGATTAAAAACGTGAGCGACCCCGCCCGGCCTCTGGTTTTCATCTTTCAGTTCCACTTCTGGGCCTGCTGGCTTCACGCTCAGTGCCACAGCACAGCAAGATGACTACTGCTGCTCCTCAGTCTTCAACTCCAAGTCCAGCAGATAGAGTGGTCTCTTTCCTGGCACTCCCTGCAGTGGTCAATTTGAATTTCATTGGCTCTGATTGGGTCCAATCACTGGGCTTAGGAAATGGGTTGCTCTGACTGGTCCCAGTCTAGGTCCAGGTCACATGCTCCAGCACTTCAACCACAACACAAGGATAAGAGGAAAATCTATGCTATTTAGTTATCAGAAACAGATTAATGGCTGCTGGAAAGCACATGTGAGAGATCTCCACTATACTAGACTTGAGAGGTCATTTAGTATAGAAGATAAAGGCTCATGCTGCAGCTAGATTACCTGTGTTTAAATCCTGGCTATGGCCTTGCTGACTGAGAGACAAGTTATTTGTTCGTCTGAAGAGTCAGGGGCTTGCTATGTTGCCCGGGCTGCGCTTGAACTTGTGGCCTCAAACAATCCTACTGCTTTTGCCTCCCAAAGTGGTGGGATTACAGTCATGAGCCCCCATGCCTGGCCTGAGTGACAAGTTCTATTAACCTCATGGTGCCCTGGTTTTCTTCCCTGACAAATGGAAATGATGAAAGTGTTTACCTCTTAGGATTGTTGTGAGGTTTCACTGACTCTCTATACACACACCACTTAGAAACCATCAGACAGTTACTATGTGATACCTGGATGTTAGCTGTTACCCAGGAGATACCTTGACTCCAAGACTTCCCTCTGAGATATCTGCACTTGCCTTTTCTGGGTATTTCCTCTTTCTTTTTAAATTATTAAGAAGGAGTCAGGAGGTAGAGGCTAGTAGGTTTGTGGCCCTGCCTCCTTTCCTTGCTCTGCTGATGGGGGCACCATCAGCATTGCCTTATTTGAAGTGGGAACTTCAGCAATTTTGAGTCAATAGAGTCATCCATAAAAATGATCATCAAGGATCATTTATTAGCTTCACAAATGCATATTGAGTAAACATTTATTGGCTGCTTCTATGTGTACTCAGGGCTGAAATTGCCAAGTTGAATGAACATGGGACTGCTTTCTAGAACCTCATAGACTAGAGGGAAACACAGGCATGAACACAGGTGACTAAAATAAAAAGGATTTATTGTAGAAGTGTGTACCAGATGTCAACTCTAGCTGGGATGGGGAATGGGTTCATTTTATACAAAAGAAGAGGTGGAGGCCGGGCACGGTGGCTCATGCCTGTAATCCCAGCACTTTGGGAGACCAAGGCGGGTGGATCACAAGGTCAAGAGATCGAGACCATCCTGGTCAACATGGTGAAACCCCGTCTCTACTAAAAATACAAAAAAAAAAATTAGCTGGGCATGGTGGCGCATGCCTGTAATCCCAGCTACTCAGGAGGCTGAGGCAGGAGAATTGCCTGAACCCAGGAGGCAGAGGCTGCGGTGAGCCGAGATTACGCCATTGCACTCTAGCCTGGGTAACAAGAGCGAAACTCCGTCTCAAAAAAAAAAAACAAACAAAAAACAAAAAACAAAAGAAGAGGGGGTTACGCAGAATCTTTAAAAAGGGAGAATTCAGTTAATCCACAAGGATTTATTGCTAATAGCAGTGTGGCTCATGCCTGTAATCCCAGCATTTTGGGAGGCCAAAGTGGGAGGATGACTGGGGCCCAAAAGTTCAAGAACAGCCTGGACAACATAGTGAGAACTTGTCTCTACTACAAATTTTAAAAATTAGCTGGGTGTGGTGGTGCACCCCTGTAGTCCCAGCTACTCAGGAGGCTGAGCACAGGAAATTGGGGCTACAGTGAGCAGGGGTCATGCCACTGCACTCCAGCCTGGGTGACAGAGGGAGACCCAATGTCAAACAGCAACAAGGACTTAACAAGTCCTTCATGGACCTCACGTCAGGCACTAGGAAGTTCTTAGCTGTCAGACAGCTAAAGTGAGCAGGAACATGGTCTGCTGGGTGGGTCTGTCCAGGATGGGGTAGCAGACAATGCCACATGCTGGCGGGTAGAAAAACGAGGGAAACTTGGCAAGGCCTATCAAAAGCGTTACAATTTTACTTACTTTTTATTTCTAGAAATTTATTTTAAGCAAATAATCATAGATTAGCACGAAGATTCATCTGCAAAGATGTCGTTTTCGCAATTTTAGAACAGCAAAAAAATGGAAATAACACAATGCCCAACACTGGGGATTGAGTACACAAATCACAATTGATTTATTATCAATAGCCACATAGTAGATAAATAGTAGATAGGAAAGTGTTTCAGAAGTCCTCGCATTATGAGAAAATATGTATTGCAAATCAGTGCATTCGCAATTGTGTAATGATAGTCTATATGTACATCAGTCACACACACGCATGCACAGATGTAGGGGAAGCTACATGGATAGAGACGGAAATGATATCAACAGTTTTAACTCAGTATTGGAATTTTCAGTTATTTTGTTATTTAAATTTTGTATTTATATCTGATAAATATCAAAATTTGTACATTTCTACTACAAATAATTATTACTTTTATAATCCAGGAAAAATACATATATACACATATATATAAAAATATATGTGTGTGTGTGTGTGTATATATATATCATACATACCATCTTGAACTCAGTCTGGTTCAAATTGGAAATCATTCAGAAATTATTTATTTCAGAAATCAAATCAGAAATATTTACCTCTTTCCCATATTCCTTTTCTAGTTCCCTGTCTTCTTGTCCTCTTTCCCTGACTTCGCTCTGTGGGATATCTGGCCGCTCCCCTCTTCTCTATTTACAGGGACCACTGATATGGCCCTGGAGGGCCACTCCTCCCCACCCCTCCTGACTGCATCCCGCCTGCTCCCTTCCGCCTCTGCATCCAGCTGCAGCCCAGTGCCTGCTGTTCAATTCTCTCACTTCTGCCCCCTCAGCTGTTGTAGTAATCCACTTGGGTGTTAGGAGAACCTACAGAAAATAAATGATAGAGTCCTTAACCTCATCATTTACCTTTAAAAAAAAGCAAAAACAGAAAAACAAACCAAAACACTTATTGAGGGCTGATAGTTGCTGGGCAGTTAGGGAAACCAGATTAACAAACTGTGTTGATGGTGTGGCTGGGCAACCATGCCTGAGCTCAGTAAGGGAGAGGCCATACAGAGAGGAGCAGAGAGAGCTGCAGGAAGGGGCGAACCTACCAATGAGCATGGCAGGTGGGGATAGACAGAGGTGAGTTGAGGGGCAACTCTCAACTCAAACCCGTGCTGGGGTGTTTGCCAGGACTGTGGTGTCTGGTCTGCTAGAGCAGAAGGGGAAACACCAGAATGAAGACAGGCTTTACAGACCTCTGAATGGTCGCAGCTGTGAAGAACTGAGGGGGTTATCACCAATGTTCCTTTGATTGACAGCAGCAGAGACCCACTCAAACCTATTCAGGTAAAGGGAGGATATTTACTGCAGGTGTTGTGGAATCCAGACAGCATCTGGCAACAAGGCCACCTTCTTCCTAATTCCACATGGCCCGGGGCCTCCCAGAGCCTCTGCTCCAGGCTCCCCTCTCTGCGGACCAGCCCCCTGAGCAGGATCACCTGCATTCCCAGGGCCCAGTTGCCTTCTCATTCCCTACGACCCCCGGCTCTCCTACTCACTGCCCCAATTCTCAGGTTCTGAGAGAAGAATCTGATTGGTCCAATTCATCTCATCTTTCTAGGCCAAAGGGGAGTGATTTGCTTAGGGTTTTTCTTCCTTTTTGACCATGAACTTCCAATGGGAAGAGACTGTGACTCTTGTTCACCATTGTAACCCTCATACTTGTCACAGGACTTGGCAAATTGTCAGTTCTTAAAAGATACTTGCTGCACACTAAATAGCCCGTTTCTGGATGGATTGTGTTCATTGAGCCAGCTGCTGGCATAGGTAAGGGCAGGCTGAGAAGGGCAAGAGAGGCCATGGGCACAGGCAGTTTCCTCTGCATGCCCAGTGGTCATGGGCATGGCGATCCTCATCCCTAGTGCCTACAAGACCACTAGAAACTCATTGAGGTGCTGGTTTAGAAAGTGGTTGCCATAAAGCTCAGCTCTACATTTTCAGCTTAATTTTAGCAACTAGCTTTAGCCTAGATTTTTCCAGTACAAGCACTCTAGTTCAGTCCTTGACTGGCCTTCCCTTTCATTCTGCAACTTTATGAAATTTTCAGTGGATGATTATTTTAATGGTCCGTTGTCTCTGTGTTTTTGCAAACTTCCTTATATCTTCAAAAACGTATAAATCTTAAAAAGAAAACTAAAGAGTTATAAGTGACTCATGAATTGGGTGAACACAGGTGGTTCAGGGTGGTTCAGGGTGGTTCAGGGTCACAAAGGCCTGCCTGGATTGAGGGCCCATGAGAGCGATTTCCCCTCCAGGCCCAGCAAGGTGTAGGAAGCCTCTTCCCCCATGGGACCTGGAGGAGAGCAAAAGATGTCGGCTTCCTCAGCATGGAGAGGGCATCAGGCCCTCTCTGCAGGTCAGACTTGATGAAAACAGAGTAAACACCAGGCCTCTGATCAGACTGGTGATGGGGCGGGAGCAGGCACTTTCTGGTTTTAATACCTCTGTCTTCTGATTTTTAGAATATTCTGAAACCTTCAGCTTTATTTCCAACCATTCATGGGTGGATAATTACAGAACTTGCCAGGCTTACATGAATAACGCATTGGGGTGAATTGTGTGGTTGGAGCCAGAATATTCTTGATTCGACCTTCATCTCTGCAGGTAGCTTCTGTGTCCTGCAGCCCATGCTCCTCAACCTTTGAGCACCCCTCTCCTTCACCTTATGTCTGCCCACATCTGCTCCCCCACCCCCATCTCCAGAGTGTTCTGTCTGTCCTGCATTGCTCTAGGAGGGAATCATAGGGTCCCACTTAGAGCTTCCTTGGCCTTCAGTGACACAAGAATATCACACTGTCCCTGAAGCTTTGGAGTGGAGGCTTGGAGAGGTAGGCAGCTCAAAGCCCTCCCATTCTCCCCTCCCCATGTCCCGCTGCCAACAGCACAGCCTGTAGATAGCTATGCTGGGCTTCTCCGTACCCACCTCTGTCCTGTTGTC